AAAAAAAAAAAGAAAGAAAGCAGACATATGTGTGGTTTAATCTCTCCTCTCTGAGCCAAAATCATGGATAAGAATATAGACGGTGATCCCAGATTGTCTGGTTCAAATCTCGGTTCAGCCTTGAACAACTATTTAACCTCATTTTTGCTTTGTTTCCTTGTCTATAAAAAAAGTAGTAACAATATTACCTACTTCCAAAAATTGGTATGAAAACTAAGTAGGTGAGTATGTGTTAAAGTGCTCAGAATCCAGCTTTTCACATACTAATATTATAACATGGGGTGGGGGTGAAGGATGATTTCCTGGAGGTTTTCAAAGGAGTGCTGAGAAAAGTGGACCCTGTCTCACTCCGGTTTGAGAGTCTGGAATGAGATCCCCTCAGAAGTCTCCAACCTGGAGAAGCCACATCAAAGCAAACTCTGCCAGAAGTGGGCTGAGCCTGGCTTTGTCCAGTTCTTCCTCAGCAGCCCTCTGTTCCCATGTGCTCCCTGGGCAGTAGGAGCACTGAGTGTCTGGTGGGGGGACTTCCAGAGGGAGTGGTCTTAAATGGGGGATCACTGGGACAGAAGCATAAGCTGGTCCACATAGCCATGAGAACTGAGAGAGGGCAGTTTGAGGGAGACTCCTGCTTTTCTCAAAAGCAGAAAAAAAATGCTCCTTCTGCAAACATCAGCTACCAAGGCCAGCAGAAGGCCAAGGAGGACCAGTTTCTCCTTAGCAGTCAGAAACCAGCAGAGACTGAGAGGCCATGGGATAGATGCAAACCACCGCCCTGCACTCCTCTTCCTGCACTTAGATGCTATCCTCAGGGGAGACGGTGGAAATCCAAAAGACAGAGCATTCTAGCTAAACTGGACTGTTTACCATCTAAATTATTGGATCCAACGATGCTTAGTGGATTAGACTGAAATACAGTCCTCATCCCATTGTCTAACCCTACCCTGTACCACAGTCTAGCAAGGTGGAGACTTACAAAGACATTTTGTGAAAATAAACAAATTGCTTTGGTGTTTTTGTTGTTGTTTGTTTTGCACAACTGAGTGTGGTGAAAGTGAATTTGTGACTCTGCTCCTTTTACCTCTATAAACTCTGAATAGGATCACTCCCTGTTAACACTCTCCCACCCACAGCCATAGCCACACACCCACACAAGCTTGCGTCTAAAACCAGCCTCAGGAATAAGCCAGAAGAGTTTGAGGCTCTGAGGTAAACAGGAGAAAAAAAAAAAACTTTCCAAAAAAAGACTCACTCCTGGTGACTTTATTTTTAAAACAGGGAAAATGTAACTACTTGCATAAACAACATTCAGAGGTACAACTTTTCTAAACGAAATTCGAAGTTATAACTCTTCCCTGATCACTTGCTCCCACTTTCTCTCTCTCTGGCTAATCAAGGGAGGGGTTGAGGGATCTAACAACCTTTCGGTAAGAACTTACTGCTCACTCACTTTATAGAAGGCTTATGCTTTGGAGCCTATTAGGTAAACTACAGTTGTTTTTTTCCCAAACTTTTAAGGAAAGAAGAAACAAAGCAAAGAACTGAATTCTCAGAGCCTTAGTCTTAAAACTATGCTGGAGGCCACTCCACCCTTAGTGGCTGGGGACCCAACTCAGCAGTGAAGTCAGACGCATCCTCAGGCTGTTTTTTAATTTCCCTGGTAAATATGCAGGCTTTATTTGCCAGTAGTGAGGCTACTAGCTCAAAACAGGCTAGATGACCTCAGAGGCCTCTTGCTGGGACTGGAGGGGCACCGAAGCCCCTGATACTGTCATGAACCAGCTTAAAAGGCCACCTACCAATGTGGCACATGCCACCCCCTGGGGTGCACACTTGCACGTGTGTGCATGTATGCACCTCCCCCAGGGGCTGAGGCCACGACGGGCATCCCACACCAAATGGATGAATAGCAGGTCTGTCCTGCCAGCTGTGTGCTCTCTCCCACCCAAAGAAAGCAGCAGAGACTCAGACAGCGGAGCGTGCAGGAGCCCACGCATTCTGTTCCCAGCCCCTGCTGTGTGTGAAGGGGCTTGAGGCAGTGAGATGGAATCAGAAAGAGAAATCACTGACCTTCAGGTAAGTTCTCTCTGGGAGAGAGGAGGGGGGAAATTGGGAGCAAAGGCGAAGTTGGGAGAACCCAGGATTGGTATTTTAGTCACTTGATTCTCTCCCCCTCCCCCTTCTCCAAATGCTCCCTAGGTTTTGTCTGAGTTTTCTCTCTCTCCATCTTGCTGTCTGGTTCTTCACTTGTTCTGAACTATGTGAGAAGCAGATTGTTTAAATCCCTCTTGGCCTGTGCTTCCTCTTGTCAGTCAAAGAACTAATTAGATCCGCGTTACCAGAAAATGACTTCACATTCTGCGCAGTGCTTTTCCCCAAACCCCAGGACAGTAGAGACTTATCTGAGAGCTGCCGGGTCATTCTCTGGAGACAGAAAAGATAGGAGTTTGGAGGTTAGGAAGAGAGGCAGCCGGCCAACTTTACAGTTTACAGCTTGGAAAAAACTAGAGCCATTCCTTGGCTGTCTTCACAAAGCTCTCCTGTGTGGGACAGAAAGCGTCTCTTTCGAATAGTGGAAGGAAAGGAAAACTGGTAAAATCTACCGGGAAGAGGCAGAGACACATGTTCCTCCCTCCCTGGGACCAGCTTAGAAAGTATCAAAGGTTCCAATCCACCAGCATAAGTGAAAGGAATAGGGGTGGTGGGAGGAGGCTCAGCCTGCTGAGATCTGCACTCCCTGACTCTCCTCTCCTTCATTGAATTGAGTAGAACCCACTCTTCTGTAATCACGGCACAGATTGTATGATAACAGACTTTTGACATCAAAAATTTTTGATCTTTGGTGGCTCACTCTGGGAGGCCGAGGCGGGTGGATAGCTTGAGCTCCCAAGTTCGAGACCAGCCTGAGCAAGAGTGAGACTCCCGTCTCTACTAAAAATAGAAAAACTGAGGCAAGAGAATTGCTTGAGCCCAAGAGTTGAAAGTTGCTGCGAGTTATGATGCCACAGCACTCTACCCAGGGTGACAACTTGAGACTCTGTCTCAAAAAAAAAAAAATGTGTTTGCCTGAATCTGGTCTTCAACTACACCTTAAACAGAAACCAAGTATACACTTCAAATTTTAGAAAAGGCCAGGCACAGTGGCTCATACCTGTAATCCCAGAACTTTGAGAGGCTGAAGCAGGAGGATCACTTAAGGCCAAGAGTTCAAAACCAATGTAGGCAGCATAACAAGACCCTATCATTACAAAACAAAAAAACCTTCTTTTGTCGAAGCAGAGTGTGTGTGTTGGGTAGGGTGGTATAAGCCTGGCAAGGCCTCTGGCCTTGGCTTCTCCACCCTCGAGACACCACCAGGGAACTTGTAGGATTACTTGGGGTACTATGTCAAAACCACTGATTTATACCACTGCATATCCAGTGTTGTTTTCCTCTTGGCAGCTGGCCCCAAACATTGTCCCTCAAGGCTTGCAGGTCCCTCTGCCTGGAGTGCTCTTTCCCTGGCTTATGCCTTGGCCAGCTCCTTCTAGCACATTCAGGTCTTAGCACAAATGTTTCTGCCCCAGGGAGACCTTCCTTGACCAACCTCTATATAGGAAACCCCCTTTCCCCAGTTTGTCTTTAACATTTACTGTATTTCTTCCGTAGCACTGCTCACCATCTGGAGTTATGCTACTTATTTACTTATTATTTATTGCCTGTCACTCTCATAGAGTGTAAAATCCCTTAAAGCAGGACCTCCTCTGTTTTATTCATTGCTGCAGCCCCAGTGCCCTGAACAATGCTTAGTACACAGTGAGCACTTAAAAAATATTTGCTAAATGAATGAGTTAAGGAAACCATGAGTTAGAGGGGAATCAGGAACAGGCACAATATCACTCAACCAGCCCACTACAAAGACAGGACTCCAGTCCAGGTCTTCTGACCCTGTGGTGTATTTCCTTTTGACATCACCTAGTTCTTTCTCCATTGGAATCTTAGTGGCTAAGGAAACGGTATTGGTCACTTTCAGTCTCAGAAGAACATGTTTCTTATGTGTTAATGGGTCACAATCCTGAGTTACAGGTTAAAGACTTTGTGTTTGAACAACAGGTACAGAAAGAAAGAGGTGGGAGGAAGGCCAAGGGCATTCCTGACCGGGTGTGTTAAATATCCCTCTCTTGAGGGTAACTAACTAAAGCATTAGCAAGCTATTCGCTAGTGTCATTCCTTCTCTCCTAATATGTCTTTATTATCAGTACTGGCAGTCCCCAAGTTATGAATGAGATATGTTCTGTAGGTTTGTTGTTCAGTTGAGTTTGTATGTAAGTTGAAACAAGTACATTTACCTATTACTAGTAATAGTCTCCATTCATAAGCGCAAGTCAAACGTCAGTTGAATATTTGTAACTCAGGGGCTGCCTGTATCTTATTCACACTTTCCTTTGGTCAGAAGATTATCCATCACTTTCTACCACTTCCTGTCCAGCTGTCTGGATTAAATTAGGTCTCCAGAGAGATTTGGAAACTGAGTAACTACGTACGGTCTTCTGAGAAGGCACACTGTGGTTAAAGGCAGATGGAAGTGTCTGTCCCCACAGGCAGGAATTTTACTCTCTCCTTGCCACATGAAAACCAGAAAAAAGACATATGTAAAGGCCTTAGAATATTATATACCAAATAAATATTAGTTTTCCTCCATTTTTCTTTGACGGCTTCCCAAGGATGGTAAAGATCTATTGACTACAGCTGCACCATTTCATCCATTCATTCAGCTAATATTAATGACTTTGTATTTCACTCTGGGTTTGCTAGGTATGTAATTTTGCTCTGGTTTGTAGTCTGACTTTTTTTAAAATTTCACCACTATACTGATGGGAAGTAAGAGTAATTCTTTTTTGAGACAGAGCCTCAAGCTTTCGCCCCGGGTAGAGTGCTGTGGCATCATGGCTCACAGCAACCTCCAAATCCTGGGCTCAAGCAATTCTCCTGCCTCTGCCTCCCAAGTAGCTGGGACTACAGGTGCCTCGGCCACAATGCCCAGCTATTTTTTGTTGCAGCCGTCATTGTTGTTTGGCGGGCCCAGGCTGGATTCGAACTCTCCAGCTCAGGTGTATGTGGCACCTTAGCCGCTTGTGCCACAGGCACTGAGCCAGAAGTAATTCTTAAACATATCTTAGTCATCCAAGAAAGACAAGTAGAAAGTATGTGGATAATTTACTGTTCTTCATCCTGTTATTAGAAAAGCAACTTAAAGCCCAAGTCCAAATAATTATGTCATAGCAAATGAAGGTAACTTTCTTTCACACATTAAAAATGTTGCTCTCCCCTTTGTAATTCTGATCTTGGAGACTTCATTTATGTTAAGTATGAAGATTAATTCCTGTTAATCACTACCCCATCAACAAAACAAAACAGACCAAAGAAAGGAGAAATATGTATTGAGCTACAACACAGTACTACGCACTGAATAAAACATGGTCCCTGACCTTAAAAAGCTTATAATTAAGTGCAAGAAATATAAACAATTAACTATTACATAAATACAAACTCTTTAGTTAAAACAGTGTTTCCCAAAAAATGTAGGACAATTATCACCGGTGGGTTGTAAGGTTGACAACTTTTTATAATAATGGTTATCTTTATAGTTTTAGTGTATATTTAAAAAAATATGAGGCGACACCCATAGTTCAGTTGGTAAGGTGCCAGCCACATACATCCAGGCTGGTGGGTTCAAACTCAGCCTGGGCCAGCTAAACAACAATGACCACTGCAACAAAAAAGTAGTTGAGCTTTGTGGTGGGCACCTGTAGTCCCAGCTGCTTGGGAGGCTGAGGCAAGAGAATCACTTAAGTCTAAGAGTTGGAGGTTGCTGTGAGCTGTGATGACACAGCCCTCTACTGAGGGCGACACAGTGAGACTCTATCTCAAAAAAATTAATAAATAAATAAACATATCAAATCTGTGATTTCATAATTTGTATTGGTTAGGAAGGCACTAAAGTTAGTTGCACAGTATGTTTGAACATTTTATTCGGTCCATGTGTGTGACATGGGCACACCCTTAATGTTTCAATAATCGTATTGGTCTTGCCAGTTTGCAATCATGGCCAGTGGGTGCTGTGGATTGCAGATTCATGCGGCTGTGACAACTGCTGCCCTAGGATGTTGAAACCCTGAATGTGGCACAACTGAGCTTTGGGAATTTCTAGTCTAAAAAACATTAATTTAAGCCTCCATTATCAGTGTTGCAGATGTGTTCCCAAAGTTAGTAGTGATACAACTGGGTGGAAAGAATGGTGCACAGTGCTCAGAGCAGGTGGCCTGGGACTGCTGCTCTCCTCCAGTAGGCTAAGGCTGTGGCCTCCCAGCTTCTGTCCTACCTACCTATAGTGGAAGCCCTGCCAGGGATATAAGCGTGCTAATTTCCCAGGATTTAGACTTCTATCTTTCCCTACTACCTAGAGTCCAGATGTAGAAAAAGGGTTGAGAAAAATCTTTGTTCCTCTTCAAATAAATGTTGCGATCTTACCCCTAGGTAGGGATTTCAAGCTCCCAGCCTGGCTCTTTCTCAAAATGGAGGCCCTCCTTTGCTTCCGGATACCCCCCAAATAGATTCATCCTTTGACTTCCTTTTTTCCACCTGTGCCGGATATTGAGAGCGATGTGAATAGGGTCTCCTAAAAGGGGAAGTAAGACTTATCTATGCTGAATGCAAATGCAATGTAGATTAAGGACAGCAAAACACAGATAGAATGAGATGGGAGTGGAGGTAAAAATAACTTGCAGGGTGGCACCCATGGCTCAGTGGGTAGGGCGCCGGCCACATACACCGAGGCTGGTGGGATCTAACCCGGCCCAGGCCTGCTAAACAACAATTACAACTCAACAAAAAAGGAAAAATAGCTAGGCATTGTGGTGGGCGCCTGTAGTCCCAGCTACTTGGAAGGCTGAGGCAAGAGAATCGCTTGGGCAGCACCTGTGGCTCAGTGGGTAGGGCGCTGGTCCCATATACCTAAGGGTGGCAGGTTCCAACCCTGCTCCAGCCACCTGAAACAGTGGTGGCAACTGCAACAAAAAATAGCTGGACATTGCAGT